GTCTACTTCAGCATTACTTGAAGGCATTAAGACATTCATCAATCAAGCAAAGTCTATGCAGGTAGGTCAAGCTGCTATGTTAGTAACATAGTAACAGTCTTTCCCCAATGTTCTATACAGGATCAGGCACGAAGAGGTGTAACTGTGGCTATAGTAATTTGGTGGTAAATCAAAATGATTTGATGAGTTGGGTACTCTTGTTGTCAAAATAATATGACAAACAGTAAACATTATCATTTATGCATCCTTAGAGTGATAGTCCATCGTTCTGCCTGATTTCTACTGACTGTTCTGAAAAATGGTCAAATTTAAGTATACCTACGATGGTACCGGTCTTATAAAATATAGGGGCTAGAGGAAAGAAGTTAAGGGACTATGACACATTTATCTTTACTTGGGGTCAGTTGCACACTGTTGAAAGCAAAACAATTTTTTTATTTTTTCCCACAGGAGTTTTCATCAACCATTTCGTTCTCAAGGCTTCCTCCTAAGTGTGGCATGTTACAAGTACCAAAAGGAAAAACTATATTCGGGGTGAAACTATCCTCACAAATGTTGCTGGAACTCTTGATCACAGTGTTATTCACGTTTGCACATTCGGTTCACATGCAGTTGCACTATTGTTTAGAATCAACAACTTGCATATTTAGGGTAGAGATTATGAACATATAATACAGGAATTTGAAAAGTAGATTGTTTACTTATTGTATTTAGTAGTGGTAAAATTCGCAAGGCTTTAACCGGAAGACACATATTGAGTTTTGTAACCCTTTGGGTTAGAAGGAAGATAACAAAAGAAGATACCTTAGCTGACTTTTTGGAGGAATAAAGCTGAACTATATGTAATGTATTAAATGTGTATTCCTTTGGATCTGGTATCTCTATGTAAGTGTTATCTGCTAAGTGAGTCAAGTTCCCCGAACAAGAAGGTCTGTTCATAACACGAGGTTAGAAATGCAAAACCCATAAACAGGATCACTGCAAGAAAACGCCTAGTCATGTCAAGCAACACACGTTTTCCTAACAAGTCTATAACCCATCCATTAACTATTGAGCAGTTACAAATGAAGTACTGTAAAAGGCTTAATTATTCACTGGGTTTTAATTTTGATTATTTCGCTGACTGTAAAATTTAGCATAGAACATCTTAATGACAAAACCGTGAATTTAAAACCCAGTGAATATGCCTAAAATAGAAAATCAGCGAAATTAAAACCCAGTGAAAATTAGTCATTTTACAGTAACCTGGATATGATTAAATTATATTATTGATGACTTTAGTTGTGCTTTTTCCATCGAAATATTTTGGGGTACTACAATTAACGTCTGATTTGAATAATTTTAGATTTGCTGTTGAGCAACTGGGGGTTGTTGGTAAAAGGTTACAGAAAGAGTTATCTGATGGCAGAACTGCATGTCCATTTTCGAAAAAAAAGGTTCAGCATTGGGTGCTGTTCCTATGAATGTACCAGCTGAATTCAAACTGATTTATCTAGGACGCATGGTAGCTAGATTAATGACAGCATTCCATCTGAGCTAACTAAAGCCAGTATGCATGACTGAATGTTATGTTGTAGGCAATAATACTGTTGTGTCATGGTTGCTACGGATATTCACTCTGCATTTAGGATTATCCCAGTTGAGTTTAGGTGGTAAGAACTTTTCCAATATGATAAATGTTTACCAATGAAATGTGCCGCGTTCTGCCTCACAGGTTTTGAAAAGATGGCTAGCATTTTCCTAGACGCTTTATACCTAAAATACATCTAGTCAGGCGCCTGATTTCGCTTGCATTGTTGCAACCCACAGGAAGGGCTTTTTAAGGCATCTAATTTATTTGGACTTTGGACTTTAACCCCTCCTATTAATCACTGTACTAAATTAGGTTTATTTGTTAGGGAAATTTACTGTTGCACCTCATGAGTCAATTCCTGGCGACAATTGAACTATAAAACTGAGAGAAGTACATTTCAGTTCAAATCGCATAGGATTGTGTGCAATTGCAAACACATTGTGTAGTTACTTGGCTATTCCGTTACATCTTTTCTGTATTACTAATGGTATAGACGATAATACCAGTAATTACTGATAATATGTTGTTGTAGCATAAATTCCGTTCACTGAAAATGCTATGGATAAAGAGCCATTGCTCGAAACGTTTAGCTATTTTTAATAGTTATTTAGGACTTCGATTACCAAATATTATCTTCTATATATCAGTCGCACTGTAGTGCGATTCGTACGTCCCTACTACGTCACACTGATTGTTGAAATCGTGTGTTATTTGCAGGATCCCAGAGTGAATAGTTGGAAATGCATAAGTCAAATCGACGACATGACCGTCTTCGTGTTAAAACTTGGCAGTGTATTGAACATTGAATGCTTCACGTCTTACAACTGGTCGATTTCAGCTAATCGCGTTCTTTCTCTATATTCTACAGGAATCTGCCCAGGTTTAGCAATCAGTTTGCTATTCAGGAATAATTAAAGGATTCTAGTGCTCTGTCGCTTATAGTTACAGTCAGTATGCGTCTTAAAGTCTAATTCCCCTTTTTACGCGAAAGTATCATTTAATTAACAATACACAAATATTACTTCAGTTACAGTCTACAACTAAGTACCTTCAGCCCTAATTCCGATTTTAGGAGCCAATTTCAAACAGTTTTTCAAGGACGCATGAAGACACGTTATAATTATAACTTTAGAATTCCAATTTATCAAATTTGTGTATTGAATAACACTACTTATCCTCTTTTTATAATTGTCAGAACTAATTATCATTCACATGAAGAGTTCACTATTGAGACAACTCACTCTCAAGTGGGGTACTGTCTGAAGAAACATACTAATTTGCATTTTACTAGATCTGTAATAAGTTCTGCTGATCAAGTTTATTTAAGGATACAATATTTCGCAATGCACTATTTTAATTTCAACGTATACAGTGCTGACATCGTCTGGCAATTGACAAACGTGACACCCAAATCAACACTTCTTTGCTCTGGCATTATAATAGTATACACCATGCTCAGGGAATATATTTATTTATATTTCAGAACCTATGATGTACTCTTCAGTTGCCTTTCTCTGTGAGAATGTATGTTGGGTCTCTGACAACTTTAACACACCATAACACCAACCAGTTTCTTTTCATGAGCGAGGTGCTTATTTTAAGTAACACTAGATTCTTTACCACAGTTATCAAGCAGGTAGTTAACATCAATATCACTACCTCTGACTTTTCTAAATATTCCTACAACTATAATGAAGCCTCCCTTCTAAAATATTCTCATCTACCACATGGTTCGTGGTAGCAGGTGCAGTGAATTGTCACGATTTCAACTAAGAGCCAAAGGTGGACAAATTCCTCTATGTTTCTCAGGTTGAACAATTACCAAATAATGACACAAATGTATGGGATAATATATTTTACTTTCATTTATAGTACTTTATAGTACTGCACCAGGAAACTTGCAGAGCGACGTCCCCCCCCCCCCTCGATACTGCGTACACGCAAGGAATTCGGGCGGCACTGACGAACCTCGCGGACCACTGGACCTGAAACAGGAGACACCTAAAAACAAGCCCCAATCTCAAAAAGGAAACAAGAGGAAAACAAACGAAACCACACACGTCGACGGTAAACCAAAAAGTGACCAAAACCCTCAGCTTTCTTACGCAAAGCACTGCGGACTCAAAAACGCCATCAACGGCCAAAACCACATTCAACCAGACACAGGGGAGGGCGCTATCGAACTGAATTTCTAAATCAAAACACACCTAAATCTCTTTGTAATATTTTATATTTAATTTATGCCGTACATAACAGAATTCAAAGCTCTGGATTGGGGTAGCTCTGCCTTCCCTTTCTGTCAGGATTATCATGATACTAACAAGCTACAACAACCTGCTTTTGAAACAATAGTACCACTTTGCTTTTTACCACTTTGGTTGGCTGGACAAGTTTCATAACATCGTATACGTGTTTCTGCTGGTGGGCCATCCGCATTCAGTGCTGCTGTAGAGTTTCTAAAGATGAATCCTTTAAATTAAATTGATTAAATAATGTGTCCTGTGGATGAATCCTAACTTATTATTGAACTTTTACCAGTGACATCTAATAGTGACGCCTAGATTTTATTATGGTCATACATTACTTCAGAGCCCACGTAGTGATGCCCCGCACCTGAATTATCAATTTTTTTTAATTCCATTAATTCGTTTATTTTGTTGTAACACTTTGAACACCTATGTGCATCTGATTTTTCACTTCTAGTCTTTCTTTTATTCATTTTTATTGTCCAATACGGTTGGTAGGGAAACTGCTCAGTGCTTTGTGGTTCTTTTTTGGGTACTTATAGGCTTGTATTTAGTAGTGGGAATTACAGACCTATTGTTCGCTTGACTACCATATCTATTTTTTAAAAAACACCAGATTGTGACGAGGATTGTTGAAGTAAATCCAGCAACATCTTCTCTATTGACTGACTTGGTAATTATATACTAGTGCTAAACAACTGTTTTGCACTAGATTTGACACCAGGTCTTGGTAAGTAGGTCAACAGATAAATTGAGGTCTTGACAAAATAAAATAAAATTAAGGAATCGCCAAGGCACCCAATCGTTGGAGTGCTTTACTCTATTCTAAGATGAAGTTAATTTTTGAATTTGGGGACAAGGCCGAGCCATGCCCGAGAGTTTTGAAATTGATAATGATTGGTGCAAGAGAATAAACCCCACTAGATAAACATCTTTGGTGTGTGTAATGTTTGGAGAATGAAGTCAAGCAAATACATGGATTAGTTATTTTAAGAATTAGAATTTAAGTTAGAATCAAGCCTAATAGCAGGTACATTCATAATGTAGTGACCACACATATATATATATCAGTCTATTTGTTGAATAAGTACAACGTAGTTACCACTATGATTTTATGTGGAGTGGGTAGATTTATTAATTTCTTTTTTGCCTTAATATAGACAACTCAGTTTATAATGAATGGATAGAATGTTTTTTATTGACAATTAAAAAAAAAAATTCCCAATGATGAAATCTTCAATTCAGTACATCAGAATAAGCATAAATGCAACTTTGAGGGAGCCGTCAATCACTTTGTCTCAGATTCTACATTAAATCAATTAGATTATTCTAGGATTCATTCTATGAGTTTTTTGTTGAAGAACATAGCATATGCAGTGTGTAAGAGTCTTAAGGGTCTTTCATGGCATTTTCATATGTCTGTAACATTTCATCAAGTAACTGTTCATTCACTCTGTGTTTCATCAGGAATTTTCCGTTGAAGTGAAATACTGGGATATCATAACGATAGAGTTTGTACCAGTCTTTGTTCTGTTTAGTAGTTATGTCCACTTCTTGTAATATAAACTATTTAATACACAAGAAAACAAAGAATTAATCAAAGGAACAATGTGTTCGAGGGCTTGTATGTATTTTTAAAAATGTTTTTGTAATTTTATAAAATTCCTAATTTGTATTCAAGTATAACAAATAATCATTGAGTTTTATAAAATTAACTTGTCATTTCTTTTTACAAATGGCAAACTTGATTTTTAGGAAAATCTGTATTTATATAGATTTAGATATTAGGAAAGGAAAAGTTGTGTGAATTTTTTGGTCTGATTATATTACATGGCATATACCATCCCCCTCCCCAGTAGACCCAACTGTACATTGCAATTGCACTGTTGATGGTGAGAAAGCCTTTTGATTGCCTCTATGTAGTAAACTTTGGACAAGCAAACCACTTGGCTATTAAGACAGTAGTTATTATCATTTGATACCCATGCTGAAATGTCCCAAACGAGATTGTTTTGAGATGCTTGATACTCTCTGGAGTATTATCAGAAAATTTGACAGTTATTAATGACCTTTTATTAAAGGATAAAACTTGGCTGAGAATTGAAACATCCATGATATGCTATGATGCACCCTGATATGCTATGATGCACCCTGATATGCTATGATGCACCCTGATATGCTATGATGCACCCTGTTTTGCCATATTCCATTTACATGGATGAATGCTATAATATGAAACAACTCATCAATAATGGGATACACTTGTGCATATTAAATATTCAAACTAATAGCATTGGTAGTTACGGTAATACTAGTAGCAGTTCATCTTAAAACCTTATTGTTGTTGGTCGCAAGTAAACATTCTGACAGAAACTGTGTTTTCAATACTTTAGTATGTGCACCTTAAGGGAATTATACTTCAAAAAAGAACTGATTCTTTTTTTATATCATTTAGTCAGATGAAAAGTCTGTGTTAGATGTATTGAAAAGAGTATGTAGATCATAGCGATTGTGACGATACAGGATTTGGGTTAAAAAGTGGTGTGTCATCTATTCAGTGACAGCGATCTGGGTGAATACAGCAAGTCAACACAGCAAACATTTGCATCATTAGGGAAAAGACACTTTGATATAAAACATTCCCATTTCTTCAAGTATTCCTATGAGGTATTCCAGTCCATTAGGTGGAGTGTTTTTTTATTATAGATTGTTGATATCACACTCTCTCTTTTCAGCCTTGATTTTAAAAATCTAAGATTTAGCATGATTCACTTACCTGTTATACACCCATATTCTACACTATTAATCACAAGTATCTTTGAGTTTGAATTTGGTTTTTTTATAAAATTGTGATTGTAAAGATTATACTTACCCTACTGTCATATTTCTTCAGAATTTCCTTTGCATCATCACATAATGGGCATACTTTCTACATTGCAAAAAGCATTCAGAAACACAATTTCAGATAAATTTAGTTCAATAAATAAGTAATATAATAATAAGTAATATAATTTCATGAGAAAAAACATTTATGGCAGTTATTAATTGTGTCCTTGTTCTTGCATAACAATACATACCATTTGCATAATTGTGTGTGTGAATTAATAAGCTTCCCACAACAAACAATGTGATACAAGTCAATCTTTCCCCCTTCTCCCTCAGCATGCACCGATCACGATATCACAATGTGCATTATGTCGCCATGGTTACTAAGGCACTCTTCTATGAGGTCAGTGATTGTCTTTTTTATCGACCATCGCGTCTAGAATCTTGAATAAATTTGGCCTTGATTTATTTACACTTTTCTATCAAATGCGACTTCCTTTCATTTGTTTTTGATAATTTTTGGCAAGTGAGTAGTGAAAACTGCAAATAACCATTGTGCAGCTGATCAGATTAGATCTTCTTGACATACACTGTGTTTGTGATTTAAAAGACCTTTTTTCTGTCACATTTTTGCTGTTAAATTATTACTATTCTTATTAGTTTTTGAATTTAGAGATGCTGCACCCCTGAAAGACAAGGTAACTTCTTGCTGACTTCCGTTCATACCACTGTATAGTATTGCTAACAAAGACAGATTATCTTTCGATCAATGCATTTAATTTTTTAGTATATTGTATATTAGTAACGCATGTACTTACATTAATAACAGAAATGTTTCTATTGCCAAAATAAGTAACATTTTAATGATTCAGAATATAACAATTATGATTTGGGGTTTATATACACTTCTGTTAGAGGCTTGCTGCTAATAGACTCAATATGGTAGTATGCGATACCGTAATTGGCCGAGTGAGGGCCCAGGGTTCTGAACACGGAAAATTGCCAAAAAATGGGGGTGGGCCTATGCATAACAAATCTAAGTTGCATTTTCGTGGGAGTATCATGATCAAAGTACCAAAGTCTCGCATAGATGAGAAACAAGGTTATACATGGAATACAATTTTATTTCATTTCTTCTCTCCGATCAATGATCTCATATACAATTCTTTGAGAATCACACAAATCTAATGGAAAAAAAGAATTAATTTTTTTTTTTTTCGCCCTCCACAAAAAAATTGCCTTATGAAAACTCGCATTTACATTGGAGGTTATTTTTCGTATGTTTTCCATTTTGAAAGCTGGAGTGTTTACCCATTTTACAGACATCCTTATGCAATCATTGATTCTTATTGCATTTTTCGGTTTTCTTCGTTGTGGTGAATTTACAGAATGACAAATGAAAAACAACGGGAATAAATGAACAATATGCTATATTAGAAGTATAAGAAAAATGATGCACTGGGTATTGCTTGTAATGTGACAAATAAACCAGAAATCAACAATGAAGAATCATTTGAATTAGGATTTCTCCATCCACAATCACGCCCAATTTGTGTGAACCCTGGTCCCAAAATTAACTAAAATGTTACTGATCAAACTGTGTAAAATTATTTCCGGTTTTGACAAATACCGGATCAACACTCATTTTTTTTTTTACAGTCATACAAGATCAATAATGATTTACAAATTTACACAGTAAAAATTATAAAAGTCCCTCAAAAAACCCTCAAAGCCCTAGTTTGTGTCACTGTTGTCATCGAAAATAATCCCTTCAGCTTCGTCTGTTGATGTTGTCTAACTTTTAATCAACAGATTTCACTGTCTGTCAGCTTGGGACTTTTAATTTATGTCTAATCACAATAAAAAGACATAAAACATGGAGTCGCGTGCAAATGACTCTGCTACAATGGCAGACAATGTTTTTGTTTACAGTCTGTTAATCATCCTTGACCTTTAAGCATTACTTCATTGATTGGCTATGAATGACATCACTACTAGTATTTCATAATAGAGGTCAAGTCATCGGTGCCACATTGGAAAATTACTGGCTCCAGTTATGGATTCGCAAGCCAAAACAACATGCTTTCAACCACTCTCCCAGGTACGGGTTGCTACAATATTGCAACATTGGTTTCATTGCGATGATACTAAACCATGGCAGAACAAGTTGCTTTGCCCCCCCCCCCCCCCATATACTGTAAGATATCATTTCTATGATAACACAAACCAAAAAGCCACAACATATTTCAAGAACGGAACTACCGTTTCTGCGATAATATACATTTTTTTAAACTTGCTGACTGTTATGATTCTGATAACAAATTTTTAAAAATAAATGTAAATGCCCTGAAGGCAGACACAAAATTACCTATTTTGCTGTCACACCTACTTTGCATTCATCCCTCATTTTACGCAATTGACATTGTTAATGCTGTTAATACAATGAACAAAAATAGTTTTTTTAAATTTTTTTATTGTATAAAGATTGGGGGTGAGGGCGTTCACCCGGGCATGGGCGCTTACCTGGAGAACCACGGTATATATTGAATACATTTGCTAATAAAATAAACTGACCTTTATTTCTAAGCAGTTATTGTAGAGGTCTTAAGTCCGAGGTGTTGAATTGTTTGAGTCACGGACATCGAGTTACGAACATAGAGTTACGAAAACATTGAGTTACAGAAATGACCACGCCCACAAATTTTAAAACCACGCCATTTTTATGAAACCACGTCAAAATTGTAACTCGATGTTCCATTAACAGTTAACAGAACTTCGAGTTACAAGCAATATACATTTTGGTTTTTGTTGAACGTCCACATTCTGTAACTCGAAGTTTAAAAAACAGCTAACCAAACTTCGAGTTACGGGCAACATATATTTTTTGTTTTGTTTAACTTTCAAATTTTGTAATTCGACCTTTAATCAACAGTTATTCAAACTTCGAGTTGGTAACTCGAAATTTAATTAACAGTTAACCAAAGTTGGAGTTACGGACAACATAAAATTTGTTGTTGTTTAATGTCCATATTAAGTAACACAAATTTTAATTAACAGTTATCATAACTTCGGCCTGGATTACGGTAACGTGATCCCTGGCTAATGACGGCCAAGTGAATTTCTAATATTTTCTGGAATCTAACCGTGACATCTTGGTTTTTGGCGTAATTCAACTAATGAATTGACGGAACAAAATCACAATTTAAAGTTTAGCTGTAGTTTTCAAAGTTATGATTTGGTGGCAACACTGCCCTTTAGAAAATAGGATTTTGAAATGAACAATGGAAAATCAAAATGCTATTTTTAATTTGAGGCTTTTCATTTCATTGATGCGCTGGGGGGGGGGGGGGGTTACTGTCGTGGCCAAACGATAATAGATCAAATGCAAGCGGAATCAACGTATCCATATCCAATGTATCGTGTAATGTTTTAGACACGTAATTTTGTTTACAGACAACTTCATTTACAATGCGATCCACTTATTAGAGGGTGTACACCACGATGATTATAGAATCGTCGCACACCTCTTTCAGTAATTCCTCTATGCTCGTATATTGAGGGCCAACCATCATCCCGTTGTGAGAAGTCCCCTGTTTGACAAGAAAACTCATATACTCAATGTCACCAATTTTTTCGATCTCCATTTCAATTAGCAAAGACATGAATCGATTAGCGTGGCTTAGTTCTAGAATATAATGACCTCACGTACGAAACGAGCACATGTCTATCTATACGAATATTAAAAAGTCAGCGTCAAACATTCACATCTACATACCGCCTTTCATTGTTGACCACAAGCTTGCTTGTTTCAACCTTTGGGCTTAGTCGCTGTGCGCGTTTGTAATGCCGCAACAATGTTACTGTTATTATTGCAACACCACGCGATGGAATTGACTATTAAATGTGAAGATTTGTGAATCTGTTTGTCTGATTACACGTGTTGAACCAGACACGGACGAAAGTTGTGCGCTGTTCAATTTACAATGAATCGTTAGATGATATAAGAGAGTGAGTTGGAGATGATGAATGATGGAATGACGCTGACGAAGAAGTATCATGACACCAGTCTATGCAAGACGTCGACAAAAAGTTGTGAAGATGTAGTACAGGTGAATAAGCCCAAAAGTCGAAACAAGCAATCTTAATGCGTGGTCAAAAAGAAAAGACTGTACGTGGACATTTGAACAATAACAAAAAACTACGTTGCCGTAACTCGAAGTTGAAGTTATGTTAACTGTTAATTAAATATCGAGTTAATAAATAGTTAATAATAGTTAAGGTCGAAATACAAAATATGAAAGTTAAACAAAACAAAAAATATATGTTGCCTGTAACTCAAAGTTCTATTAACTGTTAATTGAACATCGAGTTACAAAAGTGGGCGTGGTTTTAAAAATATGGGCGTGGTCATTTCTGTAACTCGATATTTACGAAACTCGAACAATTCAACATCTCCTTAAGTCCATTACTTTATGAATAATAGTCAATAAATCATTAACTTTAGTAATCAATTTGGTTCTTATGTAGTAATTACCTTTGTATACAATGTGAGAATCGGCAGTTTATCCAGGATTGCTGTGCTGTAAAAATACTTAGAAATGTGGCTTAGTTGAATCCTCAGCATAATTGTCTAAGAAAGAATGATATGAGCAAATAAATGAACAATCTGCAGCTCACTAAAGTACGTCAGCATTTTATGTGACTTGTTTGGTTGATTGAACATTGAATGACTTGACTAATAATTAATAATGTTAAAATTACATTATCTATTGGCCTACATATCCCGCCAACTATTGGTAAATCCAAATACCCCAGTACAGCCATTTAAAACAAGTCATTGAAAATGACACAGTCCCCGTTAAATTTTTGAAAGTTCTCTTTGTGCTCGTCATATTAAAGCGGAGGGGTTGTCGCGAGCGTGTCCTTGAAACTTGAGTTCCAAGTGGCGTATACAACAGAATGTTTATTTACATCAAAACACGTGTTCCGTGTAGTAGTAATATGGCCAAAAATAAAAACAGCTGTTATTCTGCCATCTTTGATTTGATTATGAAACACACTGATATGTATGATGTATGTGCAAAATACGAATGAAAATGGTACATAAATTGTGGAAATATAGTAGTAAGGCCAAAAAGTCAGATGGCTGTCAATCGACCATCCTTGACCAGATTTTGAAACAAATTGTCATGAACATGCATCCTAACATGTATAAAGTACATGTACATGTATGTGCCAAATTTGAATGAAAACTGACAGAGCACGTCCAAGATACCACATAAAAAAAAAAACAAGATGCCTGCCAGTCGACCATCTTTCATCCAATTGTGAAATAAATCGTCATGAACATGTATCCTAACATTTATAATCTATGTACCAAGTTTGAATGACAACTGACAAAGCATGTCCAAATACCACATTTTCAAAAAACAAGATGGCCGTCAGTCGGCCATTTTGAATTGAATCGCTAAACCACTGCATGTGCATATGTCCCACCATAAGGTACTAGGCACATGCAAAGAAAGAACGAAATCGGCCCACAGGATTCTGAAATACGACTCTGGACAGACTGACACAGGGATGGACGGACACACAGACGGACGGACGGACAGACTCAGGAACTCATGGATGGTCGGGGACATGTATTCCAAATTGTATGATCTATGTACTAAATTTGAATGAAAACTGACAAAGCATGTCCAAAATACAACATTTTCGAAAAACAAGATGGCTGCCAGTCGGCCATTTTGAATTGAATCCCTAAACCACTGCATGTCCATATGTCCCACATATGTCCGGACGGACGCACGGACGAACGCACGGACAGACGCACAGACGTACGAACACACGGTTATAAGTTTTCGGACTTCGTCCGAACAGGGACTAATTAATTTCACGACCTGTAGGGCTCATACCACTAATTGAATTTCCATAGACGACAATGTTAACATATGACGAGATTGCTATATGAAAATGATGAAGAAAGTTGAAAACATGGCTCAAACATGGGAAATCAACATGCCAGTAATCAACCATATGAAAAAAACTAACATGTTGGCCAGCTCAAACTCTTACAAATCTCAGGTAAACAAGACACACCTACTGTATTTGGATTGCACCAAGAGAAATCACTGAAAAAAAACCAAGATTAGAACATCCAAATACACACAGAATAAACCCACAGGTACACAGCCGCTAAGTAGTCAACAAAAGATCACATGTTGGTCTCACCTTTGACCCAGGTGATTACGCCCTCAAACAGGGAGCACCTGAGAAAAAAAATATTTAACAAGCCATGCATGGCACAGTCCCTGTTAGTTATCAAATTTATTTAACATATCTAGTTTTGTTTATAGTAATATAGCTGGAATATAACCATGACAGGAATATGATTTTTTAACATTAAAATGATTGACATTTGTATCTGATCGTCAAACAAGTACATGTCCATAGTGAGAGATATTGCTCTGGAACAGCATTCAAAATCAGCCATTTTGAACACATGTATATATATAACATGATGTATAACGAATATATAAAATTTAAATATAATACATGTAAGTCAAAGCATTTAAGAGATATGGCTCTAGAAGCCCAATCATTAAAACAAAATGGCCGCTAGTCTGAAAAATAAAATGACGAGCATCAGGAACCCGTAATGTCTAATGTATGTACCAAGTTTGAACGAAGTCCATCCATAAATGCTTGATCTTTGATGATTTTTTAACACAAAAATGACCACCATTTGGCCATTTTGAATAGGATAGTCAAACCAATATATCTGTTTGTCTATGACATGATGTATAATGAATATTTAAAATTTGAAAATATTAGCAGTCAAAACAAGTCCGATCTGAAAAATAAATGATGTGCATCAGGAACCTGTAATGTGTAATATATGTACCAAGTTTGAAGGAAATCCATCCATAAATGCCAGAAATGCTTGATATTTGATGATTGTTTAGCACAAAAAAGGCCATTTGGCTATTTTGAATAGGATCGTCAAACCAGTATATCTGTCTACCTATGACATGATGTATAATGAATATATAAAATTTGAACATAATCAGTGAAAGCAAGTCAGAGATATGACACGAAAACCACATTCATTAATACAAAATGGCCGCCAGTCGGCCATTTTGAATCTTATCTGTAAAAACAAAATTATTTTCATCAAGGTCCCATAATGTCTAATGTATATGCCAAGTTTGAACAAAATCCATCTGTAAACAGCCGAGAAATGGTTGATTTTTAGGATTTTTTAGCACAAAAATGGCCGCCATTTGGCCATCTTGAATCAGATCGTAAAACAAAATGAAGTGCATCAAGGTCCTATAATGTCTAATGTATATACCAAGTTTGAACAAAATCCATCTGTAAACAGCCGAGAAATGCTTAATTTGATGATTTTTAGCATAAAAATGGCCGCCATTCGACCATCTTGAATCAGATCGTGAAACACTTTGACGTGCATATGTATAATATCATGAATGATGTATGTGTGTAGTTTGATTGTGATTGGTCCAGGCATTTCTAAGATACAGGCACGCTCGCGCACACACACACACACACACACAAGCATGCACGCACGGACACACAGAGGTCAAAACATAAGTCCCCGTTTTCGGACTGTGTGTTCATGTTTTTCGTTTCATGGAAATTTTAAAATGAGGCGGCGAGGAGTTTTTTTTTTTAATACTGAGCTAAAATGGAGGCAATTTGAGACAAGTGCGAGTACAAGCGCATTTAGGAATGCTTTAGAAGGGAAAAAAAACATCTGAGGCGCATAGTTCACAATAATGCGCGTGGAAACGAGAAACAGAGATATTTTTTTTCTCAGCCTAAATCAACATGGCACGGTTTCTTTACGAGAGAAGCTGGAAAGCCATACACAGTCAACTTGGCAGAAAGGGCATGGCTAGAAATCAGAATCCTTTTTTTTTTCAATTTTACTTGAAGATGATTTATTATTTAATTTCATTTATTTTTTTTTTTTTTTACAAATGCCCATTTCAGGGCAACAGAAACTAAAAACATACATAAATGTGTAGGTGGGCATTTCCCAGGCACTTTATGGAGACGATGCTATTCGAATTCAGGTTGCTGGCTGCCTGCAAGTAAATACAGAAAGCCTGCATATATAATAGATGACAATGGTTAGGGAATGACCATTTATTATTCTTAAGGGGGGAGGGTCGGGCAATTTAAAAAAAAAAATCAATGGACCTCCCCTTATTTTGTAAAAGAGGGTAGGGTGCCCCCCTTTAGGAAAAATGATAAATTTATATATATATATATATATATATATATATATATATATATATATATATATATATTCATGTAATTTTATTGTTTATTAATTTTATAAAAAGGGGGTTTCACTCTTTACAGCAAGTCTCAGTAGCGAATTTGCTAACTGCTTTGGTTTTGACTAAACGGTTGGCTTTCGAATGTCGCTGCTGCCGTCTTGCGGTCACGCCTACTTAAGGTGAATCTATGTAACAGTAGGGGAAGATCCACCCACTTTTGGAGCTAATCAGCGACGGTCTTACAGTTGGATGGCGATTTCGCTTTGAAACATACCAGGAAAAGTGTTCTATGCTCTACGTGTCCACACAAAAACAACGAATGAGGTTGATTATTTCAGCGGTTGGCTTAATGTTACCTCAACGGATCGTTTGACTGTGAGAGTTTGTTATTTTCTCCCTGATTTGTCGAAACTGTATCTCAACTTGTCTATTTAGTGTTCAAGATGGTTACCCTCATATAATAAATAATATGTATGTATTTATGTTCCTTACCATACAAAAACCCTCTGAAGGTTTTTTAGTAGTGTAATAATAAAGTTATTATTATAATAAATATCGGTGGATTAATTGCATTTATAATATCGCGTCAGCTGACTGTGGCCATTTTCGGCTCAAATCATTCAGGGGAATCCAGACATTATGTACCAGCCTGAGGATGCGTAAAAACATTCTATGTCCCCTAATGCAATATAGACTCGCCAAGAGTGGACACGATCACAAAACAGCACCAACGAGATCCGAAAGCCAACTGTTTAGTCAAGACCCAAGCAGTTAATAGCCAATTCGCTAGCGAGTTTGCAAATTGGCTGCCCCAATACTTCTGAGACTTGCTGTAAGAGAAAAATACCCCCCCCCCCTCCCCAGCCTTGATAAAAAGTCAATGGCCCTTCTTTGTGGCTTTGGAAAATATGCTGACCCACTCTGCCTCCCCCCCCCCAGAGTAATGAATGGTCATTCCCTTAGTTTATTTACAGTCACTGTTACATAACCAATGATTGACAAGAGTTTATTCACGAAGGACTTCTATTTTTTCTCTCCTCTGCCCTCGAATCTAACTTAGTTTCTAAAGCAATATCGACATCCGGTTTCTACTCAACTCACCTGGTGTTTACTTGCCCTTTTTAATTTACGAGGTATTTGAGCACCAGTAACATTTTGCAGGATTTGCATGTCCGTCAGCTGTCAGCTAATTGGTCCCCTAAGTTTGTGATAATTGGAAGGAAACACTTTCCAATCCGTCAGTATATAACGATTATTTATTGTGAAAGTAATATTAGTAATCACCATAGGTGTATATTTTTATTCAAATTATATTTTAAATAAATGCATATTGTCTTTGATTACTGTCGTTTTCACGTAACTTTTTTGTTTTGTTTTTTGTTGTGTGGGCTAGAGAGTCGTTATGGCGCATGCGCAATGGAATCTAAAATGGCGACCTATGGGCAGGTGTCATGTTATTTGCGAAATTTTCTACATATTTACAGAAATTAACAACATTTTGTCATATATTTAAGCTGCTTATTTAAGGTAAGTGGAGCTGTCGAATGTTTGGCTTGCGAGGATAGCAGCGTGACCGAAATAACGGACATATAATCTAAAAGTATTATCGACGCGAACGCTGCAAAATATGCATCGGTATCGGTCGTTCACTTGTGTTTGTTGTGTTCATTTTTATATTATTCTGGGCGATGGTCATGTCTGTTCATCAGCTGTGTATCTGCATGAGTATGGTAGGGCGGTAAATCACATCGAGATCGCATAGGTTGGATTCCTAGTTAGATAAACAATGACTGCGTTAAAACCGGTTTATATTTAGCACGACCTGTTAAATGTATTTTGCAGAATAATTTAGCAGCAAACCATTAATTGAACGTTTGTCCTGTTGTGGTATTGAATTATACCAGTTATGAAATACTGCGTTATGGTTTTAGTGGCTTAATTTGTTATTGTCGAATCGAACCAATACTGTATTGATTTGTTGTCATGGTTTGCGTGCAATCGGTAGTACAATAATACTGAACTACGGACAAAGACTTTATTGTTGTAAGCACATCTACTGCTACAGTGACAACTTGACATTAATAAGATAAGATAATATGCGCAATATGTATCGCCTTTGGTGACGGTGGTTCACCTTACACTGGCAAATACTAGTATAATCTTTGAAAGGGTGAAATATTATCTATGATTCTGTTATGTGAAATCCAATACTATTCTTGGTCTAGTGTTTTAAGCCCAACCTTGAAAATGAGTGACGATTTAACACCTTTGAGAGACAGCTGCATGCTCAAGGACAACTTTGAAACTTTAACACAGTGTACATGTACACTGTATGACACCATGGAGCTAAAAAAAGAATGACACCAAGGTTGTCTGAATAGTAATGCTACAGATAATACATCAACAAGCGAGTGCAGATAAGCAACTACTGATTAGGTTACTTAAAAACTGAACTGATGTAATTTTTGAACATTGCATCACTTGAAATGCAGGTGTCAAAGAGTTAAATGTTCACACGAATTGAGGCATGCAATTTTTGATGCAAGTGCTTTACGTTTGTCAAGTTTGACAAAACTGATATCACCTGGTCGTGAATTGAAGATCCTATACATTTCAGTTATGTTCACTATGCAGCTTTTCAAAATCATAATATTAATTTTTTCTGTACATCCATGGCTTTTAGTGCATTCCATCTCATTTGTATCCATGATCATCAATTCTTGAATACAGTTGACTGAAAGTTATTATACAGCCAAGAGAATTTTTAGATTTGATTGGATTTATTAACATCTTCATTGCATTAATATTAATATATAATATTATTTTATATATGTGCTACAGCTATCAAGATGGCTGTAAATCCTCCTGTGAAACTGAAATGGTTGGAGCATCTGAATGCTTCTTGGATCTCAGAAGATGCAGAGACAATAGCAAGTCGTGAAGGAGTCATCACACTGTATGATAGACTGTTGATCAATAAAGAGGTTCTTGCTTTACCAAGACAAGCACTCCATCTGAAAGGACCACAGTTGCCTGATTTTGAAAGAGAAATACTAACACAGGAAGAACAAGAACACTATTTAGATTCTTTGTTGAATAGTCAGTTGATGCTCGCTAGGTCAGTCTGCTCGGAGTCACCATTCGCTTCAACTCTGCGGAAAAGGCTTGTAGTATTACAGAGAATATTTTATGCTATTTCCAATAAATTTCATGATAAAGAAAAAGTGCAACAACAACAGCAAGCGCAAGAAGGACAGTCAAATGTAGTGGATGATAAAGGTAGCTCGTTGAAATCTAGATCTGGAACAGAGGCTTTGATAGAAATGGGAGTTAGAACTGGCCTAACTTTGTTGTTCTCACTACTGCGTCAAAGTTGGATTGCTCCAGGACCAAGTGGAAACATCCACTTGTGCAATGATGTTCTGCTTACAGCTACAGAGGTAGTCAGTTCATTACCACCACTTTCATTGGCAAATGAGAGTAAAATCCCACCAATGGGATTAGAATGTCTGAAACAAGTCACAGGATTTCTTAAAAGTGCCACCATGCCTACATCTGGGGCTGATATAATGGGGAAGAGACTCGCTTCTGAACTGCTTCTAGGGATTTCTGTTCAGAGAGGTTCGTTACAATATTTGCTGGACTGGGTTGAAATGGCATTAGGTGCATCAGCTGCTGCATGTGGAGCTGCTACTACAGAGAATGTTCTGAATAAACCTGGTATGATCTCTTCTGAATTCTATAGCATTGCATTACAGCAGATGAAGAAGGCAGATGTAAGTATACCCGTTTCAATGTATAAGCACCAAATTGCATGTTTATTTATCAGTGTAAAACATTACTGTGACAGTAACCATGTTTGAATTGGTTGGCATTTAAAGGCCCAATTTACTTGCCCTGGGCAAGTGTGAATTGGAGGTGTGGCTATGCTAATGAGTGTTGTTAATCACTTGTATAGCCTATGACGCATCCTGTTTCAGCGGTCCAACATCATGTGACTTTGATTGACAGTAGTTAGTTATTCAAGATTAGTAGCGCATCCCTTTCCTTGGTTCGTGTTTTTGACTTTTATCCGCCAAAATCTCAGCTCGTACATAGTCACATGCATCCACTTTGGCACGACATAATCGACCTGTAAGTTCGAGAAAACGCGTTTTTACGGGAGCTTGGCTGGAGTTGTTCACTACAATGTGACAAGCAAGGAATTAATTCCTATTGTTTATGAGCGTATTCATAGTATACCTGGGCCTTTAATTATTCGGTCATAAAGTAGTAAAGCTGCTTGGTGATAAAAATTATAAATATATACATTTATTAGAAAATGTATCCTTCAAAGATACATGTAGGTTGGGTAATATTTCTCTTCTTAGATTTGTTTAGAGGTTCGATTTACTGTACAGAACTTGCTTCTCATCAACATGAGCACTTTTTGTACTGGACACGAAAAATGTGCCATGTACAGTTGTATGTATTCGCCACAGTTGTTGTGTCAAATATAATTAGGTATCTTATTCGCTCTATTGGAAGCACATCACTAATAGAAGTGCATAAAAACCAAAAAATATCATTGATATTAATTAAAATATTGCTTATTTATTTTTTTGACTACTGTAATATACTTTGAAGCTGAAAAATATAAGAAAAAAGGTATATTCGCTGGATTTTTGTTCTCACTAAATCATTCCTTCAGCGAAAATAGCGAAAAAATTAATACCAAGTGAAAATAAAGTATTTTACAATATACATTCAGCCCTGTAATTAATTTATGTAAGCGCATGTGTTACTAGTAGAGCAAATACAGTATTTGTTCACATCAAGTTTGTAACATTCTATACATTGTCTGGCACTTCTACCTACATGAGGTTTAGTATTTTGGGTTTTATTGTGTTACATCACTTGCATGCATGGCATTCATGAAGTTCCACTAACTGTAAATGAGGCTGTGTTGATGTACCAGTAGTTTATACAGAACAGGCTTTATGCATTACCTCTAAAGATCACACATCCTTGTACAGTATTGAAGGGCATCATCTTAATATTTGTGATTTGTTTTGTGATTCAATGACATCAGGTTACACATTGTTGGGGAAATAGTGGATGTACATTTACCTTTTTTGCAGCTTGTGCATATTAAGGTATTCAGTTACTGTGTTCTTTGGTACATTATACTACCTACTGTCTTAATGAATAGATATATTAACTGATATTGTATGTAAAATTATTTGATCTACAGGGATCATGTAGTGATAGAAACTCTGCATTGGCTGAGATTACATCATGTGATGGACTCTCACCTTTATACCAAGCTGCCATGTGTCTCATTGAAGAGGTAAGCAAACTTTAAATATTACTGTGCATACTAGAAATGTTTTCAATTCAATAAATTGGGAATTTTCATCAAAAGTTCATTCCACTGTTAATTATTACTGTTTAAAGAACCCATAGTGAATTTTCACTACAACAAAATGTTGTGATTTTCCAGTCTTGAGTAATTCAAAAATACATTTCTCATGAGAATTTAAAGCATCATTTTCTATGTAGTACTATAAATTTATGCTTTTGTGATGCTCAGTTCCATTTTATGTAATTTGTGACTATTTGTGTGTCAATGGAATGAATCAAAAACATAATTTAAGCTGGATCCATAAAACACAATAGTTATTATGTTATTTATGTATTTAATCATTTAATTATCATCATTTTTGTTCAGGTGTGTAAATTAGCATCTGAGTATGCAAAGACATGCATCTCCCCTGATGAGAATAAGAATTGCAGTAAAGAAAACAGTAATATAGTTTCTGAGAATTGCGAAGTGTTTGTCTGGGGGAGTAACAGTAGTCATCAACTTGCTGAAGGAAGTCAGGAGAAGATATTACAACCTAAAATGGCACCTTCCTTTTCTAATGCTGTTGTGGTGAGTAATTCATTACAATGTATAGTGTTCTACCCAGAATAACGTGCATAATAATATGATATGTTGATTGTTGCTGTTATGTGCATAGTTAAGACTCTAATCTAGTGCGCTCTGAGGAAAACCCTGTATATAAGTCTTGTAACACAGGGATCTCGTCACGCTGGTCGACCCCGACCGACACTCAAAATTAGCGACCACCACGGAAATGCTTCCGACCAGGACTATTGTCCGATTGTTATTATTATTATTTACCGACCGACACGCATCCTGTCAGTCGTGGATTATAATTTGTAAACAATTGACCTCGTCGCACGATACATAGCGGCTAGTCAATTTTGTGAAATTAGCACCTCTTTGTTTGTTTGTAAGTAAATAATTTCTGTGATAGACAGTCTTTAGATTGAAAGCTAAAGTTCTTTCAAAATCAATTCCACCTCGATATAACATGGTCAAAGCGGAGTTCACGATCAGTTTACGCTATTCAAGAAAAAAAAGCATGTTTATTGCGTGATTTGGTAAAAAACATTTGAACTGTTATCATTGCGAATCATGTAAAAACTTTTCGTTCAAGACCTATTTAACCTTTTAAAAATTGCTAATCACCCTTTTTGAAAACCATCATGCAGTTTTCAACTGAAATCGATGCCAACACATCGTGCTACCACTTCGTTTTACTTCCGCAATGTAATTTTTATGATCACTACCATTCGGAAAACTTCGGATTCTACCGGCATTACCATGTGGCATTCTGATTGGTTAATGGCATTTTTGACCCATTGGGTGAAAGGACACATGCCGGTCAACTAATGCATCATGGCGGGTCTGTGTATTTTACCGAAGCGATCGAGTGTTCAAATAATTACGTGGTTTTTTTTTTTGAAGGAGAATGTTTTTGGAGTAAATTCCTGGCTGAAGCGTTTCAAATGCGTTTTATTTAATTTTTTAAAATAGACATTAATTTTGCAACAATAATTTATTTGTTTCTGTTTTTAGTCTGCAGCATTCGCATTTCGAATATATTTTATTTTTAAATTCAAACTCCTCTAAATTGTGAAACATAATGTCTTAATTCAAAAAAAATATTTGCCCTGCGACCAAACTCAATAATATTCATTGCTAATTAATATTCATATAGCTCGTTAATATTCATGACCGACCGGCACTCACGTTGGGCTAGCGAGATCCTTGGTAACAGTATAATGGCATGATGTAGCATATGCCATGTCTTTTCAACGTTGGTAACAAGTATCATGGTCAAATTGTGGTTTGTTTCCCTTAGGAAAAACAGTGATAAAACAGTGTTTCACTAGGGCTAAAATAGTCGTGATGGCTAACGTTGTTTTTCTTAGCCAATAGGAACTTGTTTTACCACAGACAGCGCAAAATTGCATTTCGACCGTTCATAATTTTTCAGATTCATGTACCAAAATTTGATAACTTGTCATGCTTTTGTGTTTCAAAAAAACAAACATAATAATTTTTCATTTTTATTTAATATCTTGAATGCCCACAAATGACCTTAAAGCAAAATGTTTATTTTTGTTTTTCTGTTGGTGATTGCATGATGTCTTTAAATGTCATCACCGTTTTTTTAAGAATAATTCATGGTTTGTAAATTGTCTTGACTTAACTTCCGTGTATGATATGTAAGCAAGTATTTTCTACTTTATTCTTGAAAACTGTTTTTAACACATTGACAGCCATAGGATTATTTGTTGCCCATAACGAATAGAGTAGAATTTGTGTGGCCTCCAGTGTGTTAGTCTAACTGGTGTGACTGTTTTTTTTTTTTTGCAGATTGAGTCTGGTCAGTATTGTACATTTGTCATTTCACCTGATGGATCAGTAAGAGCTTGTGGAAAAGGAAGTTATGGACGTCTTGGCCTTGGAGATTCAAATAATCAACCACAACTTAAAAAAATCAATTTTGAAACACACGTCATACGGAAAACCTCTTCATCTAAGGTATGTTGTATTGTTATATATGTATATAATCCCATGATATTTTCTCTTAGGTTGACACCAGCAGACAAGATTGAGATTATATATTTGAGTGTTGACAGTGGAATTATTGCTGAAAAAACACTGAATACAAATATATCATTTTGCAAGCCTTTTATGCTAATTATTTTGACGGCAAGGTGTTTCGCATTGCTTGTGGGTCACAATACAGGTTTTATCTGTATTAGATTTTTGAAAAACATTCATAATTTTCTTGTTACATATTGTGTGCGATATACATGTACACTACCATGGGAATATCTATTTCTATAGGCAGTGGGATGCTGTTTTAGATATGGATCTGACATTGTTTTTTGCCCTACTTTGACTACTACGGCTTACATTACCTTGACTGAATTCCACATATGCTTGTGCTCAACTGCTTCGGTTAATGCCGATGTAGCTCAGATTGTCATAACTCTATTGTGACAGAAAGAGTGTCACACATTCCGGAGAGGTAGTTCCAAATATGAAAAATTCTTTCTGTATTAAAATGCACTATACCGGTATCTACCATCATCATCATTTGCACTTACAATTTGTACATTAAAAAGGTCATGATAACAGTCAAATTCAGTGTTATTGTTGTCTATTAAAAAAAAACACATTCACAAACTCCAAAGTAAAGTAAATATCCATTTATATTAAGTAAGTAATTATTGATACACAAACAATACTACATTATTTTTGCTATCAGCAGCAAAGATGAAACTGCTATAAATGCTCTTATAAATGTACATGTATAAATTGCTTGCAGGGTTCTGATGGGCATACTTTAGCTTTGACAGCAGAAGGTCAGGTATTTAGCTGGGGAGATGGTGACTATGGTAAACTAGGTCATGGTAACAGCTCTACACAGAAATACCCTAAATTAATCCAAGGTCCTTTGACTGGAAAGATTGTTAGATGTATATCAGCTGGTTATCGACACAGTGCATGTGTAACTGAAGATGGTGAATTATACACTTGGGGAGAAGGAGATTATGGTAGACTAGGTAAGATTTTTATCATGTTCCCTGTTGTGTCAAAGATGTACCTGATCTGTTCAAACTAAAAGATTGTATAAAACATGATAACATACTGTAAGCTAGAGAAGTTTTCGTGATTTTAGGATTCTCTGTTATTCGTGAAGGCGAAATGCAATGATACTCTTGGTGTAAGACTCAAGAGAAATTTTCAGTCATTACAGATTAATATTCTGGAGGAAATAGCACTGATACATGTAGAAGTTAGTTCTCAACAGTGTGTGTGTTTTCAGTAACTTCAGTAACTTAATATGTTTTTCTTGTGACAGCCAATTTGAGCCATCATAATGTGGGTCATGATTATTGCAGTTTATATGAAATGCAAAACTATTATCATCAACATCTATAGAAGATGCATTAAACAATCATGCTAATGCATGTACCACACTTGATTTGTGGTGACTCTTCTACCACTTTGTCTGCATCTTTGTGTTATTAGTCCCCCGTCGGTTGTAGTCCGAAAACGGGGACTTATGTTTTGCCCTGTGTGCGTGTGTCCGTGATCACCTGTATCTCGAACATGCATGGACCGATTAAGTTCAAACTTCACTCATACATCACACATTATATGGGACATATGCACATGCATTTTTTTCATGATCCGATTAACGATAGCCGAATAGCGGCTATTTTAAGGCCGAAAATGCATAAAAATCGCACATTTTCACCATTCCGGACCCGGATCTCAGTTATGCATGGACGGATTTCGTTCAAAGTTGGTACATACATTAAACATAATAGGACCTTGATGCACGTCATTTTTTTTTTCGGATCAAGTTCGAAATGGCCGACTGGCGGTGATTTTGTTTTAAAGAATTCAGTTCTGGATCCGTATCCGAGACATGTCTGGATTGAT